CTCTGGGCCATTCAGCATTGGTGGTGCCCCCGGAATTTGGTCCATTCAAGAGTGGAATTATTTCGCATTGTGGTCCATCCGCTCATTCATTTTCCTCATGAATCGATGAGGCTGCTTTTGAAGGGTTCATTGCTATTATTGTTACCGGATCTGCTGTCGATCCCCCGGGGCTCCGTCAGAGCCGGCCTCATCCCTCGGGGTGTTGTTATCAACCCTTTGCGCTGTTTGATTTGTGGGAACAGGAATAGGGCCCCTTCCATTCACGTTGTTGGAAGCACCTAACAACGCTTGCCTTAGTTCTATCATGGCCTGGTCTTCTCGTGAGAGATGGCCCATGATGGCATTCTGCTGGTCTCTCAAGATCCTCACTGTTTCTGCAACGTTCTCGTCCTCAGCATCATCAGGAGTCGGCTCCCTTACGTGTTAGGGATATCTCCCTCCATGAACCGACATTGCTACGTCCTCATCGTTGTAGGTGTCACTGATTGAATCCTCGTGTTGAGGCAGGTTTTCTTGCGCCTCAACGTTGTGTGCGATGTTGACATCGTTAGCTGCCATTTTTTACGATTTTTTGCTGAGAAACAAAGAATCAAACAGGTTAGTAATAGATGCAAGGATCAACTCAATAACGCAACTTTCTAAGCCCCACGGTAGGCGCCAAAATATTTACCTGTACACCGGTATAGTTGAATTTATAGCGTGGTTTATAGACAAGCGAATCGATTTGATCCCAAAATGGTAAAAGAATTAAATAAAATGCAAGACTTAGCGTTGAAATCGAGTTAAATAGCAGATAGCTTGGTTCCAGGAGCAAGGCTTCCAAGGCAGCAATAAGAATAACGTTAGACCGAAAATAAAATATTATATAGCTTGGGAATAGTGTGTAGCATAAGTTTGTCAGTTATACCTTGGGAACAAAGTCGTAGGATCAAGCCCCTCTTAAATGAGAATAATGGGGGTCATTGATGAATATGTAAAGACAAGCCATGAATGGAAAAATTCTCTATAACGATTGTGTTATTTAATACTGAGGTATATTCTTTACTAGATGTCATCTAGTGACAAACATTCATTTGCTTGTGTTGAGTGTGTTCCCTTCGGGATCTTCCCGGTGTCAACCGAAGCTATTGTCCAAGGACCTGGTTACTACTCGCTTCATCTTCCATCTGTCTCCGGTTCCACGTGTCACGCTATCATACGATCATTTAATATAAACCGATTTTACCTATACAGAAACGATGTGAATCCATCGGTACACAAACCCCATCGAATGTTCTTTGATTCACTAGCAAAATCCCAATACCTCCTATCAAAATGCTTCCAAGCGGAACTCACGATGCATACGACATCTTTAACCTAGGTATAAGAGGTAAATAATGCATCGTCTTTATAGAGACCTTCTTCTAACTAAAAACCTACTTAAAACGAGGCTTTTCAAAAAATTTACAACTTTCTAACTTTGCATCATCTTTATAGTATAATATGCAACCATCTTCACAAAATTCAATTCTCATAGACGATAGTCATAACTTAGAAACCAATCTTTTTGCCTTGTAGAGATCAGCATGTAAGTTGATATTTGGTTCAACTAGTTCACTTTTAAGGCCAATAAAAGAGTTCATGGCCGCTTGAGAAATATTCCAGAAATTTTATACTTAGTAATCTAACTGCAACAGAGAACTCAAAGTGCGTAATCTCTTCACTTAGTGGACGACTTGCAACCTCTAATTGTTTATAAAAACGCTTTGCTTCTTTATTAGGATCTTGTTCAACACTTTCATCGGGTTCAAACCTGGATTGCATCACAAAAGCATCCGCAACCATATCATAAAATCTAGAATCTTGAACATTATTCTCCATTGACCTACTACTTTCACCAACAACCATATTTTTAAATACGCCATTATTACCATCAATCAATATAACCGCTAGAGAGTAACAAGTACGAGTAAGCTCTTATTGCATATCATTTTCTTCCACGTCTGGAATTTACGTTTTCGTATGACGCATGTGCATGCCTTATTCTCACTTGGTCAGTATTGTGTTTGAGAACTTGAGTGGATCTTACTGAAATAATACTACTCGAACATAGGATGAAACGTCAATCACTTTATTTTGATTTAGACTATGAATCATTCTTGATTTAAGTGACTAGATGATCCGCATTATTGAGTCCATTAGTAAATCTTGAGATCAAATGTCTTAGCGATTGAGTGTCTGTCTCTAAGACGCCTAAACACTAACAAATTATTTTTATTATTTAAATATGAAGGTGTTTTAGTACTTTTATTATTTGTATTACAAAATAAGAGTGCTATATTTTTATTTAGGATATTAATTATATTAAGTAGAATGTAAATTTCAATGTAATACGAGTCTTTGTTGACTAGTTATTAATATATTTTCCTTATTGCTAAAAAAAACATATTTGACCAATAAACAGACTGAAATCGGTCCATTTACTCAACATTAAATTTAATAAAATTTTCAAAGGATCCAAAGGATTGACTTGTTAATCGACCGAAAGCGAATGGTTACCTGATTTGTTTTCCAGGTTTTAGTAACTCACCGAAATTAGACGATTTATTTTTAAATTATTGCAAAACTCAAGTTTGACCATCTTTGGTCAAAGTTTGACTAACTTACCAACCGATATCGGTCAGTTTTTTGAAAATTATGCCAGAAATTATAGTTCCCGCTTTTAGTGTTATCGGTCGTTTTTTTTTAATTAAGAAAAATATAATTTTTGACTTTTCCAACCGACTTGGTCAGTAATGTGCGGACGGTTTTTGTTGTATTTCTAGTAGTTTAATGGAATTTTGCATTAGGAAGAAAAATAGAAGAGCTAAGCTAACTCAAACTCGACTAGGACTCGGCTGCATAACTCCTTTTCACTTGGTTCAATTTGGTGTGCAATAAAGCTTAATTGGAATGATCCAAATTTAACTCAGCTGAATACTATAACAAATTTTGATTGAGTTCAGCTCAACACGCAGAAAGAAGGTTAGAGGAAGGACTCTTTTCAACTCAAGCTTTACAAATGCTCTAGTTGGCCTAAACCCATCATCAATCCACAAGTTTACGCTCTCGCTTTCAATAGTCCAACTATCAACGATACAACATTAAAAGAGACTTAATCTCAACTATCTGTTAGGACTGGACCCTTTTAATTCTGTTGGAATAAAGATTTTTCCAAACAAAAGGTGTTCCTATCTGCCACCTGTTGGGATATACTATTAACCATGCGATTTAGACATATTATAGTATTTTATTTTTTATGGTACAATTATTTATTTAATTTAATAAAGTACTATTTTAAATAGATCATTTGTTATATTTGTGTCCTTTAGTTATGTAGTAGAAATTTTAGTGTATGGAGTCTTAGCTCATGCACAGAAGATTAAATTGTCGGTTCTAATAATTAATAAACTATGTTCACAATCGAAGATATTATTGGGCAAAATATCTTGATGATTGTAGCACAAGATATAGTATAATTTGCCTTGATTATGAGAGTGGTTTTACTCCAACTTCTTGTGCTAGTATACTTAGTGTTTATTGAACGGACCAAGTAGAGAAAAGATACTTTTGTACTGGACATATATAAAACTTTTTCTCTAATTCATTAAATGAGCTTATACTCCTAATCTTGATATAATTATTATGATCAATGTGATTTGTTTATTGTTTTGATTTATCAAAAGGTACAACTCTGTTGAGAGTTAGTGTATGCCTAATAGATTGGTCAATAACGAATAGTATTTGTGAAATAATAATTAGTTGATAGAATCTTTGACTCGGTTTTGAGTTTGATGATACCCCTTTATGTAAGCTTATAAATTTTCATGTGAAAACCCGGTCGGTGAATTTTGTATCCGTCACATGAAATAGTTTAAGCGGAATTATAAAGGATTTAATTAGTTGATTAAATTAAATTGTTAGTGATTTAATTTAATTAACTGATATTTGAGATCTTAACATGGGGAGTCAAAATAAGTGTTAGTGAATTTTCTAAATTCATATTGAGGAGTTCAATTGCAGTTTTTAGCGGAATGAATTGCAATTAATTATAGTAGGAATTAATTCATGCAAAATTTCAAATTAATACTATAATTAGTAGCATCTTATTATTTCTGTGGTCCCTGCGATACCTAGTAAAGACCTGACTGACTTGGGTAAAAGGTGATTTGGGAGACAAATCATCCGGTAGAGTTAGAGTAGGATTTTACTTGCACAAGCAGAATCCTACACGTTTTTGGAAAAACGTGTCTACAATATTTTTTCACCAATAACTGACTTTTTTTTAGAGTTGTATAGTTCTTGCCCACTCAAAGCGAATTCGTCTAAGGTGTTACTAGGACCATAGCAGAAGACTGCAGCCCTGTATTCTTGGAAGACCTGTGCAATGTTTTCAAGAGGTTAGTGGTTTCTAATCTCGTAATTATATCATTATCTAATTTACATATATTTGATGCCTGGCTATATGCTTGCTTCCGCTGCGCATGTTCTAACACCATCATTATACTCCACTACCAGGATTGGATGTTTTCAAACGGGAATGGACCGATCCCAATGATGGGACAGAAGATAGCTGCAGGGTTACTAGCACTGGCCATGGTTCATATCGAGCTTTACTAGTGGGTTTGTGGGGGTGGAGGCAGTATGCAAGAGCAGTTTATAGATCTATCCTATCCTAGCAACAGAGAAAGAGGAGCGAAGAACCCAAGTAACCACCAATTGATATTTCTGAGCTATGGAGTTTTTCCAATGTCCCCTTCACTTCTGAGCAGTGCTCGGATGCAGTAAATTAGATTTTTATAAGTCAGATAATCATTTCATTAAATCATCAAGATGCTTAAGAACATGCATAATATGTTTACGGACTCTTCTTATCTCCTATCAAACGTACTGAATTATCTATATAAGAAGGTATTCTTTTTCTTTTTAACACAATGTGTCGACCTTGGATGTCCCAAAACAACCTAGAAAGGTGAACAGGATTGGCAAACTTAAACGGCTTGAAACAATAAATTTGAGGCAATAACCAGGAACCTAACTAATCATGTCTTCCAAAAATTCTCTAGTGTGGAAGCATCCAACTTTCTTTACAATTGAATGGAAACAAAACTATCTTATCTTAGGTACTTGAGGGACACCATTCCTCTAATTGACACTGAAACAAGTGTTGCAAGAAAATTTTACACCTTAATCCAGTAGGCATAGTTGTTTCTTTCTCTACAGGACATACAACTATAACAAAAGTATCAGCTTTGTGTCAGATCAAGCAAAATTTGGTTTAGTGGCACTGCAAACAAATGCATTACACCTCAGCTGATGGATGACCTGTACATATTTGGCCCAACAAATTCTCAGAACTTTGACTGAGGCAACATTGGCATCACAATCAGTTCTCAACGGATCAATCAAGATCATATGCAAAAAGCATGCTCATCATCTTCCTATCTGGTCCACAAGCATCTATCTGATAATCATGTGGCATTCTGTAGAAAAACAGGGTAAATCTAGATGGGATGATACAATGTCTCAAATACGTCCTTGGAGGAAGCAGAGTTCAACCCCACTTGGGAAACCTCTCTGGTTTTCCTCTTTCAGAATTTGGAAGGACTTAAGATTTTGTTCCTTGATCTGGTTTATGAAGAACTTGATGGCTATCTGATCCACTCTTGTCAGATGTTTGACTTGGAGATTTGTCCAGAGAGTGGTGAGATTCAGACCCTTTACTTCTTTCAAAGTTGTGGACAGGCTGATCAAAATTTCGTTTGTCAAGATTTAGGAGCTCATTTGTAGCTGGAGTCCGATGTTCCTTCAAGTAGAGCCTGTTTGTTAGCTTTGACAATGCAGATATTGTAGCATTGGCTCCTTGTCATTCAGAAATGTAAAGGAGCGAATTCTCCGGAAGCAAAAGATATGAAGGATAAATAGATTTTATTAAAAAAGGTACACAATATATATAAATACAATACAACGTTTATTTGTAGGCATGCTTTCTTATGTAAAATACCAATGTTAAGAGAAACAAGATCTTGCCATATGCACAAAATAGATGAATCTTCCTGTTCATCTTCCTCCCCAACCAAAAGTTAACGTTCAATGATTTAAAGTGTCTAACCAAGGCAGTCTGAAAAATATAATGTTTGATCCAGGGATATGAGAAGAAAAGGCAGGCTTTTGTCCAATTTGCTAAGCAGAAGTTATTCTATCCTATGAAATTACACCAAGTTCCTCAACCAAAGATTTATCAGGCTTTCAGCTCTTATCCACCAAATAAAGACAAAAAATCCTAACTTCCTCAAATGAATAGTAAAACTTACCTCATTTGTGGAACCAGATTTTCTGGCACTGGTTGAAGGCCCCTTGCCCATTCCCGTTTCCAGAGATGAGGAAGTGACCAAAGCCACAGAAGATTTGGGACTGCTTGATGAATCTGATTGCGTACTCTGAGGTAGGTGTTTATTTCCTGATAACTGAGATTCATGCTTCTTGTCCTTGTCATAATCTGCCTTGTTTGAACAAGTCTGATGCTGAAGATGTTTTATTTACAACTACATTGGTCATAAACCTTAATACATTGATAATCCATGAAATATTAAAGGAATTTTCTTTTAGGCATCTATATCAAGCGGAACAAAATGCATACTAACTTAAACATGAAAAAATCACAATAAACTCAAGTAATGATTCCAAATTCACATAAGGTATATTAAAAAAAGTCAAGCTAAAACATTACCAATATTTATACTACCTACAGTCCAAAATAGATAGTGAAACAAAGTGTGCTTGAGATTAAGTTTTTTCCATTCTATTGGCATCTTTTGACTAAAAGTGGACCAAGTTTTTTAAAGACAGGAGAGGTGTTAAAATAGCAACACATTGAAATGCTCACAGGAATTCAGGCATGTGTTCAAATAGACACACACACGTCTGGAACTGTAAACGGCATTGTTTCAAGAATATGCAAGAAGTACCAATACATATCTGCAAATGAAAAACTTTCTAGCTATGTTGCGCGGACTCTCCAAAATGCTGCTGCACCCGTGTCAGATTCTCCAACAATGTACCACTTTTGGAGGATCCAACACGCACCCGACGGCGTTTTCAGAGAGTCCAAACAACATAGCTCTCTAGTTCACCTCAACAGTATAGAAAGTTCACGAAGTTTTTGCCCATGTTCATATAGAAACTATGTCGTTTTCCTTTTCAATTCAGTAAATATTCAATTTTCGGATAGATATAACTGATATTTTATCCACTTCCTTTTGGAAAAGATTTGCATGTTAAGACACGTCACACATTGAGCACAAAGTTTGTATTGTACAAAAATGATTTTCCTTTGATATGAGGAGATGATAAGAAAAATAGGCAAGGAGCATCTTCCTTTCCGTTTTATTGACCATTTCATGGAAATGAATTCGCTGTGGAAATCTTTGTCAAAGGAAATGCACAAAGATCCTCTGAATGAGGTTCAGAACTTGGTTCTGGGACTACATTCCGTACTTCAAACATCAATTATGAGAAGAATTGACAGGTCACGCATACAGCATATGGGTGGTACATTCTAAACCATTTACACATAAAGAGCTCAAGATGCTGCAGTAGTATGACAATATCCCTCTGATAAGGAATTATCAGAAGAGTAAGATGATTATCGTTTTCAATTGCATGGTTAAACAGTTTGTACCCATTTTTCTGACAAGACATAGTAATGATTAATGGAGAGCTTGATGATGTCGTACAGAGATCCAATAAAATATCAACCATCCAAATTTGCCATACTCGACCAATTCGGCTGATTAGCATGATTTTGCAGTTTTCTACCTTACGTTATTGCTAAGCCAGAGTGCTCTGCTTTGGTCAAAAGACAATGAAAAACATGTACCTCATCTCTTGTTGACTTCTCAAGATTTTGTGAAGTAGCATTAGTTTCCACATCCTTCTGTTTATCGCTGCTGCACCAATGTCACATTGATGAAAAATAAGAAACCAAAATAAAGCAGGATAAGTTGAAATGAAAATGCTAAGTGGTCTCATGATTTTGAAGCATCAAAATGTCCTTGAAACTAAAACCTACATGCTAAAAGGCTTTATGCACAAGCATCCAGAAAAAAAAAATGCTCATAATGGAGAGAAATTTAGCTTTGAGGCAAGCATCATTCTGTCCTTGCATTTTCTTTTATTAAGAAAGATTAATTAGCAAGCTTGCAGAAGTAGGACGTTAGATAGCCACAATAAGTAGCGATAAACAAAGTTTGACCAGAAACAGGAAGGTCATGAAGCAAATCTGAAACAAGGAGGAAATTATGTGAGACTTACTTTTTTCCTTGATAATTTAGTCTTTGCTGAGGTTGGTTTCCCTCATCAGGACGAAGTGTGGGATTTTGTTCACCTTGTTCATTACGCTGCAGTCTAAGATCATCATCCCTCTGTTTGGAATTGATATCTGCCTCTGCTTGACCAATCTCCACAATCTCTTCCTTCAACCATACCACAAACAAAATGATCACTTCCAGCATAAGCCAGCCATTCACCAGAAGTGACTAATTTAGTATAAACTGACCATTCCAGCAATACTGGAAGAGACGGGTGACGTGACCAGAGACATGTTAACTCCAGCTTCCAGAAGTTTCCTTAACTCCCTCTCCTTCTGCAGTTGCTCCTGAAGCTGTGCCACCTGCCCGTACCAACAATGTCAGTATGTTTAAGGGAAAGGCTAACACTATATTTACTATTCTAAGACAGTAATCGCTAAACGAAAAATAAATACATAAAATTAATAGTCTCAGTTTAGCTATTTAGATGGAAGAATCTTCATGGAACTTTAATGAGACCATCATTCTGAATCAATACCTCCACATTAGGAATGATATGTTGTTAGGATCTTGTAAACATTGTTAGGATTTTATATAAATACATCAGTTAGGCTCATTCAGATTGATTCCTTTCCTATAATTATGTACTTTTGATTCTCATTGCTTTCGTAGAACACGTAGACGTTACTATGTAAACTCAAATAGCATGAGGGAATAATCCAAGCAGTGTTTCTCTCTCAAGACGGACAACAAGGGTAGTCGACTTCCTTTTTGTCAAGACTGAGTCCATTGTGGCCGATGTCACGGACTTCCCGGAGTCTTAAAAACACTCTCGTAAGTAGTTTTACTTGTCTATGTTCTTTCATGTGATCATGCATATTTGACTTTGTGAATTGACTCTTCTCGTCTTGTAGCTACTGCTCGGAGCCTCCAATTGGTGACACAGCTCCCCGATCGGGTCAAGCAGGTCCTTCCTTGTACTCTGGGAATCCGAGATTGGCCTAGCTTCTGGCAAAAGTACAAACCGGCTCCCCCCGAAAGGTAACATCGATACGTTGTTTTCGGATGGTGTTGTATTCGTATCCGTCGGTCTTATTGTGTTTATCTTTGTGTTTCTTTCTAGGCCCCGCCAAGGAGGTTGTCAAAAGGAACCTAGCGCCGACACCTACTTATAGGAGGAGGGGTGTTGCCTCCTCTACTCCTGCCCCCGTTTCGACTACTACGTCTGTCTCCCTTCGGCTCCTTCTCAGGTTGATGACGATGAGGTTTCCCCGCGCGGCACGGACTTGAGGCCCCCGGAAGAGAGGGCCGTAGATGGGGGAGCTGGTGTACTAGCGGTGGTTGACTTATCTGAAGTCTCCTCCGAGGTCGAGGTGCAAGATGTTGTGACGACAGGGAGATGTTGGGGCGGCCCTAGAGGTTCCTCGGTTTGGAGGAAGCCGACGCTGCGGCTTCTTTGCGGTCCGAAGGGGATGAGGCCGCCATGAATGCCTTTTACAAAGATCCTGTGCTTCCTGGGTGCGAAGAAGCTCCACCTGCCGAACTAGCCCATGCAGTTTCCCCGAGCGATAAAGGAAAGGGCAAATTGCCAGCCGAACAATGTGATGAGCGGGCTGAGCCCATTGGCGATGAGTTCGATTCTGACTTCGATCCCGAAGAACATGAGATGATCGATAGCGGACTACTCAGATCGAGGTGAGAGCAAAAGGTGGTTCGAGGAACATCACAATCCCGGTGAATCACGACCTACTTAAAAATACCAACGACGTGATTTAGGCATTCGGCCCCTTCTGCTCCGATGCTGAGCACCAGACTCTCGGAGTGATGAGTGATAGTACTCTTTGCAAGAGCATCGCCGGCCTTGCTCTCAGGTTAAGTCATTTCCCTTCTCTTTTTTTTTCGTGGCTTTGGTTCTGATAAGAATGGACATTGGGCCTAACTCAACCCCAAAAGCTAGCTTGTGAGGTGAGGATTGCTCAAGCCATATAAGGAGACCAAGGACCTCAAATCCCTCCGATGTGGGACAACTCAACACCCCCCCTCACGTCCAGACCTCTGGAGCGTGGACAACATAAATGGGGCCCAACATCGGTAACAATAATTGGGATGGGCCTGGCTCTGATACCATGATAAGAATGGACATTGGGCCTAACTCAACCCCAAAAGCTAGCTTGTGAGGTGAGGATTGCTCAAGCCATATAAGGAGACCAAGGACCTCAAATCCCTCCGATGTGGGACAACTCAACAGGTTCGCTGTTGAATCTTACCTTACTTCATTTTTTTTTTCTTTATGTGCAGGCCGTTATCCTGGAGATCGAGAGTATGCGAAGAGAGCAGAGGCGGAAGCAGGTTTACTACAAAATGCGGACAAAATTTGAGGAGTACCAAGGTCGGTACAGGGAGGATGAGAGGAGGCTCAGTGAGGGGGGTGACGTGACCGCCCTGAGGGAGGAGCTTAAAAAGAAGGATGAAGAGTTGCCCGCATTCGTGGAGCGGCTTAACGTTCTAGAAGGGGCGCTGAAGAGGAAGGACGAGGAGTAGTAGCTAAGTAGGGGTGTTGAGGATCAATGTCGCGACCTTCAGAGTCGGGTCAACCAGTTGCAAGATCAATTGGATGAGCACTCGTTCGAAGTGGGCAGGCTCAGGGAGGAGGGTTGCCCTTTTTGAGTTGGCGAACAAAAGTCTTCGTGCTGACCGGGATAATTTTCAGTCGACAGCTAATGGTAAGGAGGCTCGGCTTGAGGCGAAGATCATTGAGTTGGAGAAAGAGAATGCTGAGTTGCATGAGCGTGTTTCTACTGCAGAGAGCAAGAATGCTAGACTGCTTGAACGGTCCTCCACTTCTCATGCCTCTGCGTTTCTGACCATTCCATGAGAGAAATACGAGGGGTGGATTCTTGCCGAGGCTCGAGTAGAGGTGGTCCGAGAGTTGGGTCAGACGGGCTTCATCTACGAGATTGCCCTGGAAGAGGCCCGAGTTAAAGCTCGTGAAGCTCAGTTGGCCTGTGGTTACGACCCCGACACGCCTCAGCCTGATGCAGAGGGCAACGACGAAAAGGACCTCCCTGCGCTTGAAGACAGTGCCTGCTGCGACTCTGCTTATAGCCGAGGCGATGATGAAGAGAGCGGCGGAGACCAAGCCAAGGAGATATGTCACTTTTCGAAAAACTCGGTGATTTTCCTCCTAGTGAAATGTGAACTGGGGTCCACTGTCGTAGCTTGTTTCTTAGGCAGGCCAAATCGGCAGATGATGTTCTTCTAGATGAAGTTGGTTACTTCTTGCTCGCGAATTTGGTCAAATGCGCCCACTTCCACCCTTTTAGAGAAGTAGTTAGCCAAAACTAAAAGGAATTTAATGTTACCTCGTCCCGGCGGGAGTTGTTCCACGATGTCCATCCCCCATTTGATGAACGGCCATGGCGAGGTGACAGAATGTAGGTGTTCGCCTGCTTGGTGAATTATTGGGGCGTACTTCTGGCACTGATCGCACTTCTTTACGAATTCTAGAGCGTCTTTTCATGGTGGGCCAATAGTATCCTGCCCGTATGAGGCATCTGACAAGTGCTCGATCACCGGAGTGACTGCCACGATGACCTTCGTGGACTTCTTCGAGGACGCATTTAGTTTGGTTTGGGCCCAAGTACTTTGCTAAGGGGCCCTCGTACGTCCTTTTATACAATTTGTTGTTGAGGAGGTTGTCCCATGTCGTTTGCATTCTCATCTTCCTAGCTTCCTTTTTGTCATTTAGGAGAACACCGTCCTGCAAGTAAATTTTAATGCAATTGCGCCAGTCGCAGGTTAAGTTTATAGATTTTACCTCGACGTGATCTAGGGCTGAGCTGGGAAGATGCACCACATTTTTGTCCCTAGGAGTTATGCTTGGCCAATTTTGCGAGGCCATCCGCCTCGACGTTCTGGATTCATAGAATTTGGTCGAGCTGGCATTCTTCAAATTTGGGTAACAGTTTAAAGACCTCGGTCTGGTATTTCTGTAACCTTTGCTCCTTGATCCGGAAAGTCCCAATAACTTGGTTGATTATGAGTTGGAAGTCGCAGCATAGTCTTAGGCGCCTCGCCCCATATTCGAGTGCTAGCCTTAGACCTGCAATTACTACCTCAAACTCGTCTTCATTGTTAGTCATATCTGGGCACCTTATAGATTGGCGGAATATTTCGCCGTGGCCGGGGGGGGGGGGGG